ACCATTCTGGCCTTGAACTCAGAGTGATCACCCTGCCTCTGCCTCCCCAAGTACTGGGATTACAGGATGCACCACTGCTCCCAGCTCACAGGCTGCCTTTCAAGGATTGATGATTGTTGGCTGTGCAGGAGTTTGGACACAGTCCTGCTTCTGTAGTTTTGCTTTTGTTGCCTGGGCTTTTAGTGTCTTAACCATGAAGTTGTTGCCAATATGAACCTTAAAAGGCTATTCTTCTATTTTCTTCCAGGAATTTTACAATTTCAGACCTTACATTTAATAAGCTTCAAGTTGATCTTTGTGGGTAGTATAAGACAAGAGAGGTGTTGTTTTCCTCCTTTACTTCTGCCTGCATTCATGTGACTGCCATTTGCCTGGCAATGATAGTTGAAGAAACTGTTCTTTCAGTACTGTGTGGTCTTATATCTTTGAAGGTCATTTGACCATGTACTTCTGAGTGCAGTTCTGGGCTTTTTCTATTTGCATTATAGTGAGCTGTATGTCTATACCACAGTATTTTAATTACTGCAGCTCTGTTGTATGCTTTAAAACCAAGAAGCATGTAGCCTCCAACTTCATTATTCTTTCTTAAGATTGCCCTTGGGGGCTGGAGAGATGGCTTAGTGGTTAAGAGCTCTGTCTGCTCTTCCAGAGGTACTGAGTTCAATTCCCAGTAACCACATGGTGGCTCTCAACAATCTATACTGTCTACTGCTCTCTGCTGGCATGCAGGTACATGTGCAGCTAGAGCATTCAGAATAAATAAATAAAATCAGAGTGAGAGAGACATAGAGGAGAGAGACCCTGGCTCCTGCTTGGAGTCTTTTTTTTTTTTTTTTTTTTTTTTTTTTTTTTTGTGGATTTTAGGATGGTTTTTAAATTTTAGTATTAAGTCTTCTGGTCCACAAACATGCTTTGTGTGTAATTTCTTTCAGCAATATTTTATGCTTTTCGCTGTCTTAAGTCTTTTCATCCTCTTATAACCTTGTTACATTTGTATGCTATTCTAAGTGGAATTTTTTTCTTAAAATTTTCTTTCCAGATTGTTTATTGATAGCATATAACAGAAGAATTGGTTTGTGTTGATTGTTTATTTTGCAACTTTGTTGAATTTATGGGTTCTAACATATTTTTCCTAATATCTTGAGCATTTTCTACTTCATGTTCTCTATGAACACAGATGATTAACTTCTTTCTGTTTAGATGCCCTGCATTTCTTTTTTATTTAATTTCTTAGGCTGGGGTTTTCAGTACTAAAGTGGGCATCTTTTTTTTTTAGAGGAAAGTCTTTCAGTTTTCAACATCTGACACTAGTTTTGGATTTTTCTTATCTGACCCTTATTCATTCTTTTCATATTTAGGTGTAATAGATCATCTATTGGGAAAATTCTTTTTTTGTTAAGATTTATTTATTTTACATATCTGAGTGCTAAACTGCAAGTCACCTGCATGCCAGAAGAGAGGGCATCAGATCCTGGTAGAGATGATTATGAGCCACCACGTGGTTGCTGGGAACTGAACACAGGACCTCTGGGAGAGCAGTCAATGCTCTTAACCACTGAGCCATCTCCTCAGCCCCAGGGAAAATTCTTAAATATTTTTCAATGGGGGGAAAAAGTCTTCTAATATAGTAGCATTTAACGTCTGGGTCGTAATCCCTTTGTGGGCATTGAACAACATTTTTACATGGGTCACCTAAGACCATCAAAAAACACAGAAATTTGGGCTGGAGAGATGGCTCAGAAGTTAAGAGCACTGGCTGTTCTTCCAAAGGTCCTGAGTTCAATTCCCAGCAACCACATGGTGACTCATAGCCATCTATAATGAGATCTGCCCTCTTCTGGTGTGTAGACACACATGCAGGCAGAACACTTATAAATAGAAAATAAATAATATAAGACAAAACACAGATATTTACACTATAACTTATAACAAAGCAAAAGTATAGTTATGAAGTAGCAACAAAAATAATTTTATGATTGGGAGGAACTGAATTAAAGAGTCACAGCATTGGGAAGGTTGAGAGCCGCTGCTCTAGAAGCACCTAATGCAGTCTTGATTCTTTGTAAGACTGCTTCTGTTCTGCCAGGAGGTACTCAGGTTATACAGATGGGTGTAAGCTATTCCTTTGAGAACTCAAGACCAGTGCTCAGAAGAGTCATTTCTCTTGCTGCTATGTTTGTTTGTTTGTTTATCTGTTTGTTTGTTTGTTTGTTTGTTTTTCTGACCATATTATTTTGGTTTTTCCCTATTTACTGATTGATGGTGTATTAGAACTGTGATCTATAAGTTCTCAATTGTGTTTAATTTCCTCAAGATAGAGTTTCTCTGTGTAATAACCCTAAATGCCCTTGAACTCACTTTGTAGACCAGCTGGCCTTGAATTCACGGAGATCTGCCTGCCTCTGCCTATGCCTCCTGAGTACTGGATTTAAGGTGTGTGCCCCTATGCCCAGCTTATATTTAGCTGTTCTTAAAAACAAGGAGAGGTGTAGTTTCCATTTATTGAGCAAATGTTCTTTGTCATATTTTATAACTTTATTTTGGGTTAACTTCTAAGTCAGTCTACTTTGACCTGTATACTTCTTTGCTCTAGCTCCAATGTGATAGCCATGAGCTACAAAAGAGTAATATTGCCTCAGTTTTGCAGACAGATAAGCTGAAACACAGAGAGCTTGGGTGACTTGGTTTGCCCAGTAGCATCTAGCTGGGAAATAACTAATGAAGTTTGAACCCACGTTAAGCATTCCCAAGAAGTTCTGTCCTCTGTGTCAACAAGTTCTATCCTCTGTGTAGTCATTTATCAGTGATTGCCCGTTTTCCTAGCCCATGGGGCCTACAATGGGCAGCAAATCCAGCTTCCAACTGGAGTAAACTGCCTTCATGAGTTGGCTTTTTTCACCCAGCCAGTCTTTGTTTCCTGCCCTTCAAACTCTGTTCTTGCTGTCACCGTGATTAATCAGGCTGCAATGAATTTATGCTTATAAGGATCCTGAAGAGAAAAAGCTGGAGTTTGTTTTTTCATTTAATTTTCAAAAATAATCACTCCATTTCAATTTATATACCAAACTATTTCAGACCAACTTCTTTATCTACTAGTTAAATCCTTCTTACCCTGTATTCTCATTAACATTCAGTTCTTTAAAAAAAAATTTATTATTGTGTGTGTGTGTATATATATATATATATATATATATATTATTGTATATAATAATATATAACATATGTTATTGTATAAATGTTTACATGTGTGTGCAAACACACAAGTGCCATAGTTCATTGTTGGAGGTTAGAGGACAACTTTGTGGAATCTATTGTCTTCTTCCATCTTTATATGGGTTCTAGGGATCAAACTCAGGTCATCAGGCCTGCATGGCAAGCACCTTTACCTGCTGAGCCATCTCACTGGTTCTGCTAGCGTTGACTTCTGAAAGCTTCTGTTTATGATCATAACAGTTCAGGGTTTTTTCAGAGACCACTAGAACAAATAAATATGCAGATTTGAGCCAGACAGGCCTGGTCGAAAATGGCCTTTGAGGTTTCCATAGAAACAACAACAACAAAAATCCTCTGTCCCCTTCTTAGCACTTACTCTGTTCTTTGTTGACTGACTGATTAGGCCTCAGCCCTAGGTTAGAAACTGTATAGAAGATTATTTGTTCTCTATAGAATACTGGACTGAGTATTAGCATGTTTCTGTTTCTTCCTCATACCCCTGGCCACATCTAGTGTACAGCGTGACTTATGTGAGCTGTGATTTCTTCAATTTATTTAATAGACTTGGGAATATCTAGCCTCAAAAGAAGAAGATGAGCCCAGTCCTACTAGATATGCCAAGGCAGTTTGATACCCATGGGAAGTCTTCCCTTCTCTGAGATGAAAGGGAGGGGGGAGTGAGAGGGAGGGACTGGGAAGAGAGGAGAGAGGGGAACTTCCTACCAGGATATAAAATTAACTAATTAGTTAATTAATGAAAAAAGAGAAATAATAAAAAGATTTAATGTTGGATCTTGATTCCTCAGTACTGATTTGACACCATATACTCTACAGACTTCATAATAAATGAGATCTTTAGGACAAATTTCTTAGATCATTAAAAAAAAATTCCATAGGAAAGTACATGTCAGTACTTAGCAAACGAACACTTACTTAATATCCATTTATTGAGTACCTCTTTTCTAGGTCCTATCTTGGCCTTAGGTATTACAGATGATGTTTTTTGTGATGTTACTATAAGTATTCTGTAATAATGACAGCACACACACCTATAGTCTGAGCTACTTGAAAGAATAAAACAGAAGGACTGCTTGAACCTAGGAATTTAAGACTTGCCTGGGCACTACAGTGCCCTCTTTGAAAAGAAAGCAACCCAAAAATGATGGTATTGTAACTCTCAGTGCTTTCATAATTGTTACTCTTGCTAGACTCCCTTTTCAGTAACTGATTTGATTAATCCTCACTAGACTCCAATGAGGAAGGACTTTTGTTCTACCTACCAAACAGATGGAGGTACTTAGCTTCACATAGTTCAATAACTTTCCCAAGGTTGTGCTAGAAGTGGTATACTCTGGGCTTGAGTACCGGCATTCCGCCTTCAGAATGTTTACGTTAACCACATGCTGTCTTTTCTTTCTTAGAATCCACATAATTATAAATGGGTAAATAACAGTAGATGATTTTATAGAGGAGGTAACACCCGTTATTGGGTAGGGCAAGTAGGAGATTGTCATTGAGGAATGGAGTTTCAGTTAGGAAAGTGAAGAGTCAAAGACAAGGTGAGAAAATGACTTTGTGGCTTGAAAGTAAGGTAAATAGGCAGGGGAAAGTAGTAATAAACCATGGTTCTAGAAGGCAAGTGTCCAAAGATTGTGTCCAAATGTACTGGGCATATTCAAAGAAGTCCAAAGATTACAAGAGAGCCTCATTATAAACTCTGATTCCTAGAGTGAGAACAGATGTTATCTATAGCACCAAATCTAACATGTATTCATTTCTTGTCAAAGATATCAGAAGAAGAAATTGAAAGAATCATGTCTGGACAGGAGTTTGAGGAAGAAGCTAATCACTGGAGCAACCATGGTGATAGCGACCACAGTTCCCCTGGGAACAGGGCTTCAGAAAGCAACCAGCCCTCACCAGGCTCCACACTATCATCCAGGTGAGCTAAAGGCAAACCCAGTATCGTCACCTAGAGCCTAGTCCATCAGTAGTCCTCCAAAGACCTTCTGGTGGACAGTAGTTGTCTACATGCTGTCCCAGGATTCTTGCAGTTGGCCCCTCAGCCTCCTGGGGAACAGGATGGTACAAAATCAGGTCTTTAACAAAGACCAAAACATCAGCCATCTCTTTTGCAGTGTTAGGTTCCGCTTGTGGGCATGCCCACATAGGCTTTATTTAGCAGTAATATTTCAATACCCTGACTGTTGAGTTGCAGTTTTTCTGACTTACCAGAGTCCGTGTTATTGGGGAATTCAACATTAAAGCCTCTTGAGGCAATCATGCTTCTCAAGTTAGCTGATAGTTGTATAGCTTTGGGCTACCATGGAAGGGCTCCTTATGCCAAAAATCTTTCATATAGGATAAGAATTGGCAAGTATTTTCTTGAAATGTCACAGAATAGGAATCTGGAGAGATGGCTCAGAATTGAAGAACATTGGCTGCTCTTCCACTGGTCCTGAGTTCAAGAGGTAGCTCACAACCACCTATAATGGGATCCAATGCCTTCTCCTGGCATGCAGACAGAGCACTCATATACATAAATAAATAAGTAAAATGCTACAGAGTGGGCCTGTAGACATAGCTCAGTTGATAAACTGCTTGCTCTGCAGGCCTGAGTTCCTAAGTTCACTTCCGGCACCCACACAAAAACCAGGTGTGCAGTAAGAAATATAATTTTTTTTTTTTTTTTTTTTGTCTTTGTCTTTTCTACCATTAGAGAAACAGACTGAAAGATCACGGGGGCTCACTGGCCAGCTAATTTAGCTGAATCAGTATGTTCCAGGTCCTGTTAGACCCTATGTCAAAAGCCTTGAGGCCTACACACACATGCACATACACAAATGATAAAAGGAAGAAATTATCTTTTTAAAAAGGCTCATTCCAGGACAGCAGGGCTACATAGAGCCTGTCCACAAACAAACAAACAAATAAATTTTAAAAGATCATATAGTTGCTATTTTAGACATTGTAAGCCTGGCCTGGGTCCAGCTTTCCAACGCTGCCTTAGTGGCTCAAAAGCATCACAGTGCCATATATAAAGCGGTGAGTGTTGCTTTATTCAAAAAACTTTATTTATTCAAAAAAAAAAAAAAAAAAAAAAAAGGTCCTAGGCTAGATATGGCCTATAGGCTATAGTTTGCCAGACTCAATTATAGGAGAGACATCCAGGGAAGCTAAATGATTTTTAAAGTATTAATTAGCAGTGGGCTGGTGAGATGATTCGATTCATCAGGTAAAGGCACTGCTGCCAAGCCTGACTACCTGAGATGATCCAGGACCTACGCGGTGGAAGAAGAAAACTCCCAGTAGTTGTCCTCTCATGCATGCATGTGGCATTCACTCACTCATGCACTCTTGCATATATGTAATTTTTTTTTACAGTTAGTTGGGAAAATGGGTAGATTTTTCCAAAAGAAAGGAGGCAGGAAACAATCTTTTCAGATTCAGTTACAGCTTTTTATTTCATTAAGTTGTACTGTTGTTTTTTCTTTCTAAAAGTTAGAGACTTAAAGAACTCGGGCTATACTCCATGCTAGATACTGGATTTGGGTCAATACAAACACACATTTTTGTCACTATAGACTACTAGTATCTATTAAAAACTATTCCAGCTGGGACTGGTGGTGAAGACCTACTCTCCCAACTATCCAGGAGGCTGAGGCAGTAGGATCACAACTTCTAGGCCTGCCTCGGCTACAAAGTGAATTCAAGGTTAGCCTTGCCAACTTAGTGAGACCCTATCTTAAGATATAATGTTGAAAGAGGGCTAGGATATATAGCACAGTAGCAAAGCACCTGCCTAGCATGAGCAAGGTGCTAGGTGTGACATCAGGACAAAGACTTCATCTAATCCATAATTGTTTATATCACCCTATTTTGTTGGTCACTGAGTTTGCCAATGGTGAACCTCTTGTTTCTGCATCCACACAGAGTCTTTGTCTCATGAGTGTAATGTAATAATAGATATGCATGTAACCTTTAAATTCTGTCCATAGCTTGATTGGTCACAGACTTCAAGACCAGAGAATACTTCAGCCATCTCCTGACTTATTTTCTTTGAGCAGGTATTCAACCTGCCATGGCTTTTCCTAATGTAAAGTTTTTCTCTCCAGTAGGTCTGTGGAACTAAATGGATTTATGACGTTCAGGGATCAGTACATGGGGATGTCAGTGCCTCCACATTACCAATACATACCGCACCTTTTTAGCTATTCTGGCCACTCACCACTTCTGCCCCCACAAGCTCGAAGCCTGGACCCTCAGTCCTACAGTCTGATTCACCAGCTGATGTCAGCTGAAGACCTGGAGCCATTGGGCACACCCATGTTGATTGAAGATGGGTAAGTGAATTCTTCCCTGCTTGGCCCCTTGAAGTCACAAAATAGCCCCAACAATTATACCCCAAGCTTTGTCATTGAAGGCATTGGTCCCCCATGTTCCCTTAAGCATCTTTTCTCAGTGCAGTCAGGGTTACTTTTCAGTTCCTGTGAAGTGGGATTGAAGGGCCTTTGTTTCTTCGTGGGTCTAGGTAAACTAAGCCCTGGAATGTTTGCTCTTGTGCCCTTAGGCACAAAATAAGTTTGACATCAGGTTTAGGGTTTTTAAATCATTCAAGCCCTAACTGGTTGTGACCTGTCTATATCCCTAACCAGCATGCCCATGAGTAACCTATAGCACACAACTGACAGCTTTTGGTGCAGGCCTGAGTGAATGGAAGAGATCTCAGTCTGCACTTGGCTGTGTTTGAGTGTTATATAGTTTGGCATCTGGACCACCCATTGTTGCGCCCATTACTTTTTAGGTAGAGAACATGGGCTGCTAAAGTCTTTTTGCCTCCTAGAGGGTACCCTGAGATCATAAGCTAGGCTCCAGTTTCAGAAGAAGAGAATTAAATATCTACCAAAAGGATCCCACAAAGCTTTTACGTAAGGTATGAGGAAGAGGAAGACAAGTGGACCAGGGACCTTGAGAGGAATAAAGCTGAGACTCAGAGGCCTGCTGTGGGCTGGAGAAATAGCCTGTAGGAAAAGCTGAGCAACTCTGGTTCCTAAACTGTCACCACCAGGGGGCACAGTGAGGACAGAAAAGGCATCTAAATGCCTCTGTTCTCTTCAGCAACCTGGCCCTTGGGCATGTTTGGTTTTGGGTTTTGTTCCTGTTTTCTTGCATGTATAGGAATTGTTCCTTATACTGGGTATGCTCCAGACCCATCCCCATTTTAGTTTTCATTGCCAAAATTAGAGCATGAATGAGTAAGAATTTCTTCTCCAGCATGAAACAACAGAGAACATCAACATTAAGAGTAACAGTCCCTCATAATTCCAGAAGTTTCTAAGTCTCCTTTGTCCTCAGCAGATCATCTCACTGCACCCCCCCTCCCCCACCTCAGCTTTTTGCTGGCTGCAACCCTACCCCTTTATAAGAAGTTGAGAGACACTGGAAATCTGTGGTCAAGGGCAAGGGGCCTACTGCCAAGGACTTACTGTGCCTTCAAGGAGTACCCTCTTCCAGTGCACCTAGCCCCACTCTCTGGCTGATGGAAGTGACTCTGTCCTATCCGTACCCCCAGATATGCTGTGACACAAGCAGAGCTATTTGCTCTGCTCTGCCGCCTGGCCGACGAGTTGCTCTTTAGGCAGATTGCCTGGATCAAGAAGCTGCCTTTCTTCTGCGAGCTCTCAATCAAGGATTACACTTGTCTCTTGAGCTCTACATGGCAGGAGTTAATCCTGCTTTCATCCCTCACAGTTTACAGCAAGCAGATCTTTGGGGAGCTGGCTGATGTCACTGCCAAGTATTCACCCTCTGATGAAGAACTACACAGGTGAGCTGCTCCCTGTGAGGCAAGACTGCCTAGTCTCCAAAGGAGACACATTAAACCCCACAGACCTGAATTTTAATCTTTATCCTGTCACTTATCAGCTTTGTATTATCAGCTAGTCACAGATTCTAAATGGATAGAAAGGTGGTACAATAAGTCTCTCTCCAACAAGGTGAGGATGGTGAGTTAGTGCCATACAGACTGGCAAAGTGCTAAGCTGTTTCTTTAATGTTTGTCTAGATTAGTGGGTTGGTATATCTGGGAAAGGCAAAAATCTAAATCCTTAAGGAACTTGGGAGTCATCTTGGTGTTAATTGTAGGCAGCTTTATTTTTTTTAATTTTTTATTTATTTTTATTTAATATGTTGATGTTTGTCTTGCACATATGTTTGTGTGAGGGAGTCGGATCTACTGGAACTTGTGAACTGCCATGTGGGTACTGGGAATTGAACCCAGTTCCTCGGAAGAGAAGATAATGCTCTTAACCACTGAGACATCATTCCAGCCCCTGTAGGCAGCTTTTTATTACTTACTGATTCTTTCTTACAACTTGTGGTAACATAGGTGCCACTGTGCTTGTTTATAATGAGAAAGTTGAAGTTCAGAGAACCCAGCCCTTAAGGGTTTTAGATTTTAATCTAGAGGCTAGCCTTGAGCTTGTTCCACAGTTTCCCATCCCCACTCCCTGTGGCCTGCCTGATTGCTTAGGCTCTTTTCTGGTACCTAAGGTGTGGTGCGATGTCAAGAGCATAGGACTGAGCCAAACAGGTTTCCTGGCTGTTCTTTGCTATAATGTTTTCTTCTAGTTGACCAACATCCTCCAACCTCCTTCTCTAGAACAGCCTTTTTTCTCCCTTCTGTTTCTGTGACCTGTCCAAATACTAGTCACTTTCTTTGAAGACCTAGGGCAGATAAGACCCTTAATTTTTGACCCCCAAGATAAGATAAGTCTCTCTTTCAATAACTTCTCTGGTTTATTAGTTTATTCATATGAAATATCTTAGCTAGCTTAATTCACATTTAAATAAACATTTCAAAAACCACCTTTTTTGGACAGTTTAAATAATAGAAGTCATGTGATTTCAAGGTACGCAGAACAAGGATAAATGAGATATGGAGAACATAGGGTACTGGCGCCTATAATTTTCCTTACAGGACTGGGGTGCATCAGTAACCAACCAGCATTATGTGCATTACATAAAAACAAGGCCAACACTTAAGCAGGGAGCAAAACTTCAAGGCCTTCAGGAGCTCTGTGCACAGCTGAGTGGGAGTCTGAGAACCAGCTCTCTCCTTTGCTTTTCTAGCATTGCCTTGCTCACTGGCTTCAGGGTGCACCTACCTGACATTTTGTCTTATAAACAGATGACCTAACCCCTTTTCTACATCCTCTAATTCGTTGTTTCCATCAAATTTCTGTCTCCACCTCATAACTTTGGATTGAAGGGCTGTTTGGATAGCAGTAAGCTTGATGTGATATTGTCAGTTTGTAGACTTGGGCTCAGAGAGCCCAGCCTCCCTGTTGCTTGGGATCTACTAGCTCTTCCTGGGACTTCTCACCTGTAGTAGTAGTAGTAGTAGTAGTAGTAGTAGTAGAATCAACCTCTAGGTTCTGCTCCCTATAGCATGACCATTTTTCTAGGCAGGTACTACAAGTGTTGGGAGTTGTTTCAGGCAAGATTTCTAGGAATACAGACCATGCAGATAAGGTTTCTGTCCTTCATTCCTCTTTCCCTCCTTCCCCCTCTCCCTTCCTATCTGGTTCTAGAAATTTTAAATCCAGGGTCTTACATGTGCTAGTAAGTGTTCTGCCATTGAGATCACATCCCAGCCCCCTTCTCATTTATTTTGAGGTAAGATCTAAGTTTTTCAGGCAGGCTTCAAACTTAGAATTCTCCTGCCTCAATCTTCTAAATAGCTTCAGTAATAGGTACACACTACCACAACCAGCTTAGACATGGTTTCTGACTCTGAGACTTCTAACCTTATTTTATAGTAGCAGATACAGTTTGTAATGCAAGATCATATTGAAGGAGATTGAGGAGGATATAAGGACTATTCAAAAACTGACTAAGGAGTGAGGGCTATGCTTGTGTACTTGGCTTTCCATAAGAACAGACATTTGAGCTGCATTTTGAAATGAGAATTTTCTAAGTACAGTATAGAGAACAGGATGAAGGCCGGAGACTAAAAGAATTCCTAGAAGAGGGGCTAGAGAGATGGCTCAGCAATTCCAGAGGTCCTGAGTTCAATTCCCAGCAACCATATGGTGGCTCACAACCATCTTTGAGATCTGGTGCCCTCTTCTGGCATGCAGGTATACATGAAGACAGAGCACTCATAACAAATAAAAACATACATTTTAAAAAAACGAAAGAAAGAAAAAAATTCCTAGAAGATCCGGGTGTGGTGGCTCCTGTCTTTAGTCCCAGAACTGGGCAGAGGTAGATGGGTTTCTGAGTTCAAGGTTAGCGTGTTCTACAGAGAGACAACCAGAGACAACAGTGAGACCCTTCCTAGAAAGAGACAGAGAGAGAGAGAGAGAGAGAGAGAGAGAGAGAGAGAAAGAAAAAGGAAGGAAGGAAGGAAATCCTAGAAATAATCCTAGGTGACTCTATGTGTAAGGCTCTAAAAGGGGTCCTAACATTAGGATGTAGGCAGCAGAAAACTGAGGGAAGAGAAGTAATTGGAGACAAAGATACTGACAAGACAGTTCAGAAGGGTGCATTTGAAAGCTTGATGATGCATACCTGTAATGCCAACACTTTGAAAAATGAAGTTAGGAAGAGTATAAATTTGAGGCACAGTCAGACTGCATGAGGCCTTAGAGGTTTTTTGTTGTTGTTTATTTTATTTGTTTGTTTGTTTGTTTATCTTTTGAGACAGGGTTTCTCTGTGTAACACTGGCTGTAGTGGAACTCACTCTGTAGACTAGGCTGGCCTTGAACTCATAGAGATCTACTTGCCTCTGTCTCCCTCATGCTGGGATCAAAGGCATGAGCCACACCTTGTTTGGGTTGTTTGTTTGTTTGTTGTTTTTTGTTTTTGGTGTTGTCCTCTTCTTTTTGTTTTGTTTTTTAATAAGAAGAAAAGAAGACTTTGGGTTTGATGTGTTGGGAAGGTTACATTTGAGAAAAGTGTTCTGTGGTTCTGGTGTGGGCACGATTAGAGCATGGCTAAGCGACTGGCTGCTCTGTGTCCATGGAAAGGAAAACAAGGAGGGATGACACAGCAATGACTCAGGAAGAGAAGGCAGCACCAAACTAGGGGTGTCAGAGATATGGGATCAGCAGGGCTCTGTGAGTAAGGACAGTTGTGGTCCCGAGTGCATCTGGGAAGAGCATGGTGGGAGATAAACCACTCTGACTTGGCTTCAGTGTCTGTGAAGTCTGAGTTGTATACAGGAGGATCAGGAGGTCATCAGGTCTGGAAGTTGAGCTTCTGGGGTTAGGTTAATCACTGCCAAGCATCCCCTCTTTGTTAGAATTCCAGGGTGAGGAGTCTAATTGGCCATAGCTCTTTCCTACTTTTCAGTACTACTCCCACTCCTCCAGGCAGCCTTTGCTTCTTCACAGCTCCTGAGTGTGAGTGCCTGCTGTCAGGAAAAGTCTTCCCAGATGATGCACAGCCAGCTCCTTTTCTCTTTTCAATACTGGATCAAGTTTATGGTGCCTATTCCTTGTCAGACTGTTATCAGACACAGAGGTGGACAAATGTGATTTAAAGCAGATTGTAGTACCAGCCAGTGACTTCTCTAAACCCTAATCAACACCCTTTCACTCCCTGGAGAAGATGCTTTGAGTGGATGGAGTTTAATGGGCACTTTTGACTATTCAGCTCAGGAAACACGGTCTTTTTGCTCCTTGTTACAGAAGAATGACGGTGATAGTAATAATGACCAGGATTTGTTGCACCAGTTTTTATCATTGTTTTACTTATGTTGCTGTTGGTTCCTTGCTGTCATCCTATGAGACTGCTACTATTAATCCCTGTAGATATACGGACCTTGAATTTCAGAGAGATGAACATGCGGGGCTACAGAGGTAGGAAAAGATGGAGCTAAGATTACTATGCAGGTGTGTTGTGCTCCAAAGCCAGAGCTCTCTGCCAATACACTATACCAAACTCTTGGAATAATTTTCTAGAATATATCATGGAGCTGTAATATGACTTGTATGTGATACGAAGATGACACTTCCTTAAAGACTGTAGCTGGTGACTGCTGCTGGGGAAGGTACATTTAGATGAGTAGGAAAGAGCTAGTCCTCTCCACCCCTTAATGGATATAACTTACATAGTGTCAGCTTCAATTGCTGACTGAATGGTCCAGTGGTTTGGGGGATTTTGGCAGGAATGTTTTCCTTGTCCTAGAATGCTTGTGTGATAGGAACACAAGAGAAGAATGGGTGTGTTTGTCCAACTTTATGGCTTTGAATGCTGATAATTTGTAGACAGGGAATACAGGGGCGTCAGAATTGTGGAGTGGGCAGATGTGGAGGAGGAACGGCTGGAAGAGAAAGCAGGCCCATGGAACAGAGAACAATTTTGTTTATCAAAGGGTGGGATGCGGGTGTGGAGGAAAGCTTTGCAGCCAAGCTGTGGAGACTGAGTGGGGACTGCTGGGCTGGCTGCCAACCCCAACCACTGCCAAGGGACTATGATGGCTGCTTCTTATAAGATATTTGGAATAGAGGGATGTGCTATCCCTAAGAGAAAGGGCAGATCTTGGGCACATGTACAAACCAAGCACTTGAGAGCTTCGTTGTGATCCTCCAGGTCAAGATAAACAGCAACAGGTTTGGTACTGCCAGCTCAGGGTCTGGGTGATAGCCACACACCTGCAGGTCCTGCCATGCAATAGTGAGCAGTTGGGGCAAGAAGTTGCTGATTAAGGGACAGAGCATTATTTGTTCTTGCTACATTGCTCGACTATCAAACATATGTCAACAGTGTTATTCCTACCTTCTGTGTTATGTTCCACCTCAGCTTATCCCCATCCTACTACTCTATGCAGCTACTATAGGGAATCATCAGTGAAACCCTTTTCTCTCTCAACAACTTAAGTATCCAGCAAGTACTATTATGAGGAGTGGTCTTCACCCCTAGGCACACTACTTCCTGCAAGCAGCACAGAAGTACCTGCCACCTCCTAGGGCTAGGCCCTAGGATGTGGTGCTGTTGGAACACAAAGCTCTTAAGGTTTCTCATGAGGTAGCATGTGGCAGCCTTTCCCAGGTAGCACTTAAGAACTTGACAGGGTTGGTAGTATACCAGTAGGAAAGCCCCTATACTTGGAATTCAGAAGCCCTGGCTCGCTCTTACTGTGTTACTTTAGCAGAGTCACTTCTTTCTGCTTCCTTGTCCTAATACAGAGGTAGGTATATGGTTCATCTCACAAGTTATCAGGAAAATAAGAATGCCTGTGAAAGGGCCTTTATGTCAGGAGTAGAGTCAGTAGCTGCTCTGAGCCTTCATTCCCACACATGAACAAAGGAAATTTTGATTAGTACACTTTTTTAAATTGGGAGGGTGAGATTATATATATAATACTAAAGGTGCCCAGCACTCAACATGCAGCAGAATGGTTGGTAAGGGTTTTCGAGTGGTTATTCAATATGAATTTGTCTATTAGTCAGTCTGGGAAAGTAGTAATAAAGCCATAAAAGCCATTGGGCTAGATCATCAAGGAACCTGAATTAGCTGTCACAGCTTACAGCAGCTCACACAGCAAACTGAGAGGCTCCTTGCTTGGTGACATATCTAGAGCCTCTTTACCTAAAACATGCTCTATTCCCAGAGTGTTAATTTTCTAGCTCAAAGTAGAGAGTGTGGCCAGATTTGGGTCATCTCCACTAGAGCCCAGCTTCCTAAACTATGTATCACAACACTGCATGTAACTGTGTAACTGTATATGAAAACACAAAACAATTGGCATTACTGAAAGATTTCTAAACATCAACAAGTAGGCATTAAAATTCAAAATCAAACTCACTGTGTATCCACAGTGTCTCCCTATGAGTGCAAGTGTCTCCAGCAGTATGTTGATCAGAGCTTCTCTGCCACCTTGGTTCTGAACACTGAATGCATTGCACATACCTTCATACATAAATATTGCCAGAGATACCTTAGCTCAGATGCCAGGTTGTTATTATTTTTGCTCTTCTAGAAACATGGTGGTTTAATTTGGGAAACAAAGACTTTGAGTATCATCCTATCATCATTCCTCAGTATTTTAAGCATCAAATTACGGTTTTGGATTATATCAAGTTTTATTTTAGTTAGGTGTGGTGGTACATGTCTTGAGACCTCAGATTTGGGAGATAGAGTTAGAAGAATGCAGAGTGTAAGACCATTTCTACTGCACACTGAGATCAATGCTAGCTTGAGCTAAATGAGACCCTATTTCAGAAACAAAAGTTTGCTGCTTGAGTTTCTGACTTGAAAGGAATTTTGAAAATTTGTTAAATGAATTTGACTTGGGATTAGGACAGAATTTTCAACAATTTCTAAAATAACCCTAAGTATACTTCTGTCATTTCATACTGAACTATTGATGGTTATAAAATCAAAATATCAATTAAGCCAAATGTGGTAGAACAGTCATTTAATTCCTGCACTCATGAGGCAGAGACAAACAGCTCTCTGAATTTCAGGCTATCTTGTAGTGAGTTCTAGGCCAGTTATGGCCTAGAGACATTGTCTCAACAAAAAACAAACAAACAAACAAAAAAACCCTGAAAACTTTGCTGTATGTTCTGCAGTGTCAAATACAGAGATGCAATTTAATTCTTCTGGAAAAATAAGAAGCATATCTATCTCATTAGTATACAAAATTGATATTTTCTTTAATAAATAATAAATGATAAAATTACATGTCAAAGAATTGTGTCAAAATAAATTTACTGGGACTAGAGAAGAGCACTTACTAGATAAATGCATAGCGCATGAGGACCCCTTTCAGGTATCTGCACCCATGTATGAATCTGGGAATGTCTGTAATGGCAGCACTGAATGGGAGCAGAGACAGGTAGATCCCCCAGAGCTCACTGGCCAGCTAATCTAGCCAAATTAGTGAGACTCAAATTCAATTCAAGACTGTTATCCCCAGAAATAATGTGGAGAACAACAGTGAAAGATCCCCATTGTCAACCTCTGGCTCCTCATATATTCCTTACACACACAGACATGAACATGTATATATACATACACATGCCACATACATATGCCACCTACACCAAAACATAAAAAGAATAGAAATAAAATTAATTCCACTGTGTGTTATTAGTTTATTATTAGTGTTAGATTTCTATGCCTATTTTTATTACCTGTGTACCTGGGGTCATGTAAGAACTCATTAGGTGAAGAGAAATCACGTGTAAATAGTTCAAGAAGCCTGTCTGTTCTGCATGAGCAGACTACCTTGGATGTTGGAAGAGACTTGGGAAGCTCGGCCAGGTTCCAGGTTCTCATCGCACCACCAGCTAGCTGTGTTTTGGTGGGCTGGTCTCCTCTCCATGTTGAACTTGTTTCTCACCTGGGTGATTGTTTCACCTAGCTCATAGAGTTGAGAATCACAGACGGTGCCCAGCATAAAGGCTCTTGTGGTATAAAGACTCAGCAAGTGTTTTCTTGTCCCTTGGGCTGAAGTCAGGAATGCCAGTAAGATTTTTTTATTGTATATAATCTCAGCCTTGCTAGAAACAGAAAACCTAAACAAACATAATTGGAAGCGTTTTCTACATTGTGGCTGAGGCTCTCATAGAGTCACCATGGCAGCTGTCATTGATACTGGAGACTGCATCTCCACAAAAGCTGTATCTTAATATTGTCATATTTCTCTTCATTTCTATCCCAGATTTCCTTCAGCTCTTGTTAGCATAAGCAGGCAAACATTATTTTGCAGAGGGAGACCTCAAAGCTTACAGGGGTCAAATGACTTTCCCAGAATCTTGCAGGCTTGTGTGGTGGAGTTGGATTTGAACCTAGTTTTACTTGACTCTGCCTGACCTTGGAAATAGCAACTTACATAATCTAACCTGGCTGCCATTCAAAGCATTTCCCTGTGGGTTCCATTTCCCCGAAATAGAGCTTCTTTACCATCATAGATAACCTTTGTCTGCCCTTCCTGGCCTTTGCTGGTATCAGTACTCCAGGTAAAAACCTGTCTCTGTTCTTCAGATTTAGTGATGAAGGGATGGAGGTGATTGAACGACTCATCTACCTATATCACAAGTTCCATCAGCTAAAGGTCAGCAATGAGGAGTACGCATGCATGAAAGCAATTAACTTCCTGAACCAAGGTGAGCAGGTGGTGGGGTAAGGTCAGCAGTTTGTTTTATGTATTTATTTTTGCC